TTTACAGACATCCCCCTGCTGGGATGCAGCTTCTCTGTTGTGATTATCCTATAGGTGCTCCCACAAATACAACAGAGACAATGCCTTCTCCTGGAACCTGCCTGGGACATCAAGCTGCCTTCTTCCAGCCACCTCATCTGACTGAAGACTCCAGAGACACTCACTGAGACCCAGAGACACTCACTGAGTCCTACAGAAGACAGATCTAGACCTTCCAGCTACAGACGAACTCTCTTGCCAAAGTCAAATAGCTAAAAATGTACATGTTAGTAAGGAAAACATAATGTCTATCTAGATTAATCAGATGTTATTACCCTCAAACTATATAACCTGTAATTAATTGGCTCAATACCTTGCCTTCCCAACCCCCACCTTTGACTCTCCTTACCCTGTGACTTAATTATGCTAACGCCTGCAGCCTGCGTAGTGTTTTCTTTTGACTTCCTCATCCAAAATTTTCGCTACAAATGATACAGTCACTCCAGTGATGCCCCTCCTTTTAAAAAAGAAAACAGGGGGAGTTGTGGGGCCGTGAAAGGATAGCTTGGTTCCTGGTCAAGTGCAGGCCTTGAACCCCGGACCCTAGTGGGAAAATGGCAGGTGTTCTGCCTCACTTCCAGACCCCAAGGTCCTGACACCCGGTCTAAGACCTCCATTGGTTCATGCTTTTCAGTCACATAGGGCAATGCAGCCCCTCGCAAAGAGATTTGTGTCACCTAACACAGGTAGAGGGTGTGACTACAGGCTTCATCCTCAAGAGATTTCCATATTAATGAGATACCTAAAGGCCAGAGGGCATAGCCAATTAAGCATTCCTTCTTAGACCCTCCTCCCTTCCTATTTATTCATCTACCTTCTACCATGACATTAAACCTTTTCAAAACCATGGACTTCCTCGTGTCTTTGGGGCCCACCGTGGGGAACCATGGAGAAGGTCTCAACTATTGAGCCGTGGAGAACTCTGCGTTCCAGCCAAGAGGACCACCAATTCAACCAAGCTAGTTGACTCTGCCAAGCGAGTACAGCAATCAAGGGTCTCTTTCCTGTGGGGTGCTGTCAGAGCCTCTCTTTTCCTCTCATGTCTCTGTTCGTCCGTGGCCCCCCAGCGGCATCTGGGAGCCCTGAATGGAGACCACTGGATTCCAGGTCCACTCAAGAGCCCTGTCCCTGTGGAACTTCATACTGAGAGAGAATTTCCCATGCTTGGGCAGAGCCCTGCAGGTCCACCAGGCGACACTTGGAGTGAACTCAGTCAAAAATCCCACGCTTCTCCTGCCCAGAGCCTCAGTTCTAGCTAACTAGGGCAGCAGACCCATGAGAACCACAACCACCTAACAGATCCATGCCCACCCATGGGCAAGCTAAACCACCCTGCAAGGGCTCACATAGCCCCACTGTGGCTGTTCACACTCTTACACAGGAGACTAGAGAGACAGACATCTCCACACTCCTGGTGCGTTCCAGAGCACTCAGTCACTAAGCCCTTACAAGTTACCATGCCAGGCAAGAGCAGCTGAGTGGTAGAAGAGTCTGCTTTGTCTTTACGGGACTTCTCCCACACTGTTGAAATTACACACAGGGAGCTGGTGTGTCTATGGCACTGTGTTGGGCTTGAGAAACACTTGTGAGCAGACAGACACACTGACTGCTCACATGCTAGCCAGAAGCCCCATGAAGAGGTTACTGTCCTTGGCAGGACTTGGCCAGGTGTGAAACATGGACAAGAAAGTGGCCCAACAAAGAGGAGCAAAACTATGCAAGGGGGCAGGACAGTTCTGTGCTCTGGGCTGGATGGCACTAGGTGACTGCATGGTTGGGATCTGCCCAGGAGGGTGAGGTCTGTGGTGCTGAAAGTAGATCTTTCATAAGTAAGTGAATGACTGACTGCCACCTCACTGCTCCTGGACAGAGTTAGTCATTAGGGAACATGGCCATCATCCTTCCCTGGTCTCTGTCTCTGTTGCTGTCTCTCTCTTTCTGTCTCTCTGTATGTATCTCTGTGTGTCTCTGTCTCTGTGTTTTTCTGTCTCTGTCTCTCTGTCTCTATCTTTCTGTCTCTCTCTGTCCCTGTCTGTCTCTGTCTCTGTGTGTGTGTATGTGTGTGTGTGCGTGTGTGTGTGTCTTTCTGTCTTTCTCTGTATGTGTCTTTGTCTCTGTCCCTCTATGTCTCTGTCTTTCTCTTTCTGTATGTGTCTCTTTCTGTCTCTGTCTCTCTCTGTGTGTCTTTCTGTCTCTCTCTATATGTGTCTCTCTCTGTCTCTGTCTCTCTATGTCTTTCTGTCTCTGTGTGTGTGTGTCTCTCTCTCTGTGTCTCTCT